AAGAAAAAGATCCTTTCACGGTCAGCACATAAAGTAAACCAAAAAGAAATAATCAAACCAACAAAAGTAAAGATTGATTATTCTAGTTTATTCGATCTCTTTTATTAGGTTATTCAATTTATTGCCCCCACTTTATTCCTGACAAGCACGTGTAAATGTTCCATCACCAACTCTTAGGGCAGTACAGAAAAAAACAGCTGAGGCACCTTTACGTGTGAACCTACAGTTCAGGTTAGAAATAAAATGTTCCAAACAATTTAAAACAATGAAATTTCACCATGCTAGTGGCATGAATATCACATCATTCCATAAATATTGCAGTACTCAAATCTGGCTTTGGGAAAATAGTGAAGTGGTGTGTTGCTTAGTTTGTTCAGGCACCCGGCTATATTTGGAAAATGTGTGCAATAAAGTGTAAATTGTCCCCTCACGAGATGACCCTTTCTCCCTTTTATTCTCAATGATGTACAAGAAAATTGGTCAGAGAAACAGGCACTTTAACTGGCGTCATAGAGGTTCATATCAGGTTCCCCTCATTCAAGCAAAAAAAATGTACAGGCATTGTGAATATTATAAATTCAACAATATTTATTTGGTTTTAGGTCAAGGCAATCAAAGAACATAAAAAAGCTCACCCACGTGGTCGGTTTTGGATACAGGCCGATGCATGTGACATTAAAGTGGCTCTGCAGGAGTTCGTCAAGGGAAAATGGGATGGAGGTGTTGACAGGGTTTTCCCTTACGCGTAAATACGCGTCAGAGATGGGTTGTTTCGCCGAAAAAGAAAAAAAGGACGCAAAACACCAATGAGAACCGGTCCTCTCGGACGCACATGTTCTAGAGCGACAGGTTGCTAAAAATTAGTTAAGAACTGCGTAGAGCTTCAAAAAATCTTTTTTGAGAATAAAATATAAAGACTTTCGAATCTTCTTCTTTTGCCTGACTCCTTTTTTAAAACTAAGAAGAGCCACAATCACTTTGAATGGTTCTCAAGCTTGCTATTTTTAATGTTCCGATCGGAGAACCACATTGAAAGTCCTTGCAGAGGCTTGGGAACTGATGTCTCATTATGAGGCATTCTTGTGCATGACGTACAAAGTAGAACAGCTCATTTGAGATATATGAATATTTAGAAGTTTGGGAGAACTCTAAACCCCGTAACATATAAAATAGGTAGTACTCTTCTTCAAATTCCTTGGTGAAGACGTCTTATGGTAGTTTATTGCAAACTTGTGTGAGTGTAGTCGATCATTAACAGGACAATGTATTTCGAACCACCATTGACAGCCTTCTTCCTCATCTCCAACCAGGGAGTGCTCATGTTCAGGATGTAGCTTGCAGCCTCAAGGATCTCCAAGAAGATCTCCAAAAGTATTTGAGAAATGTGCTGGTGAAAAAGCGACAACCAGCAGCTACCCATGTCTTGGCAATTCTGGTTTCTGAACAGTCCCAATGCCTCTCAGGCATTGCTCAAAGCACTGTGGTTGGGAAGGGTCAAATATAACAACTTGCTTCGTGGCTGTAGGGATAAATTGTGCATGAAGTACAAAGTAGAACAGCTCATTTGAGATATATGAATATTTAAAAGTTTGGGAGAACTCTAATGCCCGTAACATATAAAATAGGTAGTACTCTTCTTCAAATTCCTTGGTGAAGACGTCTTATGGTAGTTTAGTGCCAGCTTGTGTGAGTGTAGTCGATCATTAACAGGACAATGTATTTCGAACCACCATTGACAGCCTTCTTCCCCATCTCCAACCAGGGAGTGCTCATGTTTAGGATGTGGCTTGCAGCCTCCAAGATCTCCAAGAAGATCTGCAAAAGTTCTAAGAAATGTGTTGGTGAAAAAGCGACAACCAGCAGCTACCCATGTTTTGGCAATTTCAGTTTCTGAAGAGTCCCAATGCTTCTCGGCATTGCTCAAAGCAATGTGGTTGGGTAGGGTTGAATATAACAACTTGCTTCGTGGCTGTAGGGATAAATTGTGCATGAAGTACAAAGTAGAAAAGCTCATTGATATATGAATATTTAGAAGTTTGGGAGAACTCAAATGCCCGTAACATATAAAATAGGTAGTACTCTTCTTCAAATTCCTTGGTGAAGACGTCTCATGGTAGTTTATTGCCAACTTGTGTGAGTATAGTCGATCACTAACAGGCCCAAGCATTTCGAACCACCACTGACAGCCTTCTTCCCCATCTCCAACCAGGGAGTGCTCATGTTCAGGATGTGGCTTGCAGCCTCAAGGATCTCCAAGAGGATCTGCAAAAGTTCTGGGAAATGTGTTGGTGAAAAAGCGACAACCAGCAGCTACCCATGTTTTGGCAATTCTGGTTTCTGAAGAGTCCCAATGCTTCTCGGCATTGCTCAAAGCAATGTGGTTGGGAAGGGTTGAATATAACAACTTGCTTCGTGGTTGTAGGGATAAATTGTGCATGAAGTAAAAAGTAGTAAAGCTCATTTCAGATATATAAATATTTAGAAGTTTGGGAGAACTCTAATGCCCGTAACATGTAAAATAGGTAGTACTCTTCTTCAAATTTCTTGGTAAAGGCGTCTTATGGTAGTTTATTGTCAACTTGTGTGAGTATAGTCGATCATTAACAGGTCCAAGCATTTCGAACCACCACTGACAGCCTTCTTCCCCATCTCCAACCAGGGAGTGCTCATGTTCAGGATGTGGTTTGCAGCCCCAAGGATCTCTAAGAAGATCTCCAAAAGTACCTGAGAAATATCTTGGTGAAAAAGCGACAACCAGCAGCTACCCAGGTCTTGGCAATTCCTGTTGATTGTTCTTGTTGGTTCGATTTTTTCTATTTTGATGTCTTGTTTTGTTATTCTCTTTCAAAAATTGCCCTGTCTAGTCCCAAATCGCTGCAGTTATCATGGCGTAATGACTCACATCATTATGACCCCAAGATAATTTTTTTAGAACATTGGTAAGGTTCAGATAGCTTTTGAATTGCCATACAATGTTTTGTTTCCAATATTACCTGATCACTCAATTTTTTTCATTTTTTATAGAAGCTTGACAAAAGACTGAAAGCTGTCTCTATACAAGAAAGAGAAGGTGACCTGTGTCCAGCCCTTGATGTTAGCCTTTTGTCCTCTGATGAGTCTGATGCAGAAGATGAGTCCTTGAAACCAGGCCTCTTTCTTGGAGGACAGAAAATTTCAACAAACGTTTTAAACTATAAGATGAAAGAGCAAAGAAAGCAATGACGTCTCAACAAAGAATATAGCCAGTTAGTAGAAGACCTGTCATTGTTAGTGAAACAGCAGTAGGCGTTGTTCCAGAACATTTAAAATGGGCTGCTACTGAGCTAAAGTGAAAACTTTACATTAGCTAGATAAAGAGCTTTTGTCTTGTAGTTGGGGCCTTAAAGGTTAAGGTGAGTATTATAAAGTCAAGATTTTATAGATGTAAAAACAAAGTGATTCTGTTGAGTGGACTAAAGAGTTTCTATCTAAGACTTTATAGATGGCTATTAGGAACAATTATTTTCAGAAAAAAATGTGCACTTTGTTTTGGCTGTAATTTATAAAATAAAGATAATTGTACTACTATTTCAGCATTCAAAACACTACCACAACAGCATGGAATAAAAAACTATGAATCAAGTTTGATTTCTAAATGTTGTGTATACATTTTGTCTGGGTCTAAATGACAGTGGCTTCAACTCAGCACCTAATAGTGGGGTAACAGAAGCAAGCAGTTTTATCACATCTTCTCCGCAACTTGTAAAAGCACTATTGGCATAAAAAGGCCGAGGGCAAACCTTACAACACAAAGAAAAGTCCAAGAAGGCACAGAGGGCCAGAATGATCTCTCTTTTCACCCGCTGGCAGAGACAAGGAACTGAGAGAGGACAATGCCCTGCTCACTTAGCAGCTTGCTCAGTCCAGGGAGGCAGCAGCAGATATTCCACTGAGTGAAGCTGCTAGACCGGGTAAAGTACCCAGGGCAATTGCCGAACAACACAAAGTAAGATTTGTTTTGAAGATATCAGACAAACTAGAGGCAAAAAAGCAGTTAGAAAACATCTACTACAAAATGATTTTGCCAAATATCACTTATTGTCTGTCAGTTTGGGGCAGCTGCTCTCTAACACTCTTTGATGAAATTGAGAAATCACATACTAAAGCAGCACGGATTATTATCAGCACATATATTCCTTGTATTTAAATCCAAAGGATGAATGATTTACATTGTAGTCAAACAAAATTAATATTTCAAAACCTAGTGACTACAATTCAATTCCGGTGATTTTTTTAATGTATGAAGCAACATCATGGCATTTAACATTATATAATGTGAAATGAGCTTGACACATGCATATTAAACGTGGTGTGGGGCTGGAAATCACAAAAATAATACGATCTACTTTCTTTCACTTTTTAGCTTGTAATTTACTTTCTAGGTAACCCCTGTTGGCGATCACAAGCACAGTATCTAAAAGGATGTAAACCACAATTATGAAGCACCCTGCCATAGGACAGAACACACTGATTCTTACAACAAGTCCAAACAGGGCAAACATCAGGTTCCGAGCGATGAAGAGTTCAAAGAATGACCAGCTTAGTTACCTTGCATGGTTAGTAGACATGAGCAAAGAAAAAACTTATCAACTCCAAAGACAAGTAATTTTTGTTCGACAATGCACAATGTTGCAAAGGCGTTTGGTTTCCCGCAGGCCGAGATACAGCATACTTCTTATGTGCTGAGAAGCCAAACATCCCCGGGAACAGGTTGGTGGGAATTTACCATTCCATGACTCTCCCTAAATACAGATCTAGGATTTTATATTCATTGAAAGATACTGTAGGGGAAGTCTGCATTGTGATTGCAACAACTGCTCTCAGTATGGGAGTAAATTTTCCAGATGTAAGATATGTCATTCATGTTGGTCCAGCAAAAAGTGTTATCGACCATATACAATGAGCAGAACCAGCTGGAAGAGATGGATCTTAAATCTTCACTATCCAGCTGATATTTAACAATGCCTACGAGCCAGGCATATGGGAATACTACTGGTGATCTTTCCAGTCTGTTTCCAGTCTATGTGCAAGGCTTCTACGCTTTTCTCTAAGAACAGAGAGGCTGAATAAAGTGTTCATGATAATGGATAAGAAACATGACATGAAAAATAATGTTCTTCCTCCCAGCTTCATCCCTTACCAAATTGTAATTCGCCACAAAGTGTGAAAACTCTGCGATGAGATTAGGAGTGTCATGGGGAATCTGGGAATGGTTGTGGTTGGTGAATTTACAAATATAATAATAGAATGATGTGCAAGACTTACATGTATGTACCAGTGTGTGTACTGCAACTGTGGTAAGAGCTTATGACAAAATGTGGAGAGGACACAGCCATACTGCATTTAAAGTGTTTTCAAAACTACATTTAAGAGAATCGGCATCCTAAATGTATAAACTTGTTTTGCAATTGAAAAAGTCACTGAAAATGATATATAATGAGGTATTAATTTACGTGCCATAAACACCAAATAAGATAGAAGTGAACTATAACACTATGGTTGGAAGAGGTACACATAGAAAAGGATATAATATATTGAGAAACTGAAACAAGACAGACATATTTAAATCCTTATTAACTTGGAAATAATTTGCTTTAGAAAGGATACATGTAACTTCAATGTCTTTTTACAGGCACAGTAACTGAGCACTGATGGGGAATTAGATTCCCTTCGCACTTGGAGAGGGACAAGGCCAATCTCCTTTACTCAGATCATTATAGATGCTAAGGCTGAGGCTCGAAGCACTAATGTTAATACCATAAGTAGGTATTTCCCACCGAAAAAGGTTGAAGGTAATTATTTCTTCTGTGTTTTTTCCCGTGTTTTCTTCACCCTTAATGGAAGATCTCAGCATGTTATGGTGCAAGGAAATTTATCTCAGAGTTTGAATTTGGACTTTGGTGTACCACAGGCCTCTTGCCTCAGGCCATTGCTTTTCACGTTTTATGCCCGCAAATTGTTTGATGTTATCAAGGTGCACCTTCCCATGGTTCACTGCTACGCTGACGACACACAGTTATATGTGTCTATCAGTCCAAACAAAAGCACCAGGCAATTTGAGGCTGTCACTCCTATTCAGCACTGTGTGGATGATTAAATGATATGATCAAAGAAAAGGTGTTTTTAAAAGAAAAGTGTTGTTTCAAGTTCTTTCTAAGCACTGCGATCAAAAATGGATACGTTTGATACTTGGTCTATTAATTAGAGTATCTTTCAGTTTCAGACACAGACTTTAAGCAGTTTAGAAGTTTCCACAGAGCTATATTGACGATTTTATGGCTACTTTAAAAAATGAAATGACTTACACTTGACATTTTTGTTGACTATTGTAATTATTAATAATGGTGTCCTTATAATAATTCACTATTGTCACCAATAAGATTCTGAGTGCTCTCCTTAACCCTATAATAATATTCAGCAATGCTGAATATACATTATTATTTTTAGATACCAAATTAATATTAGAACCAGGCTTTTAGGCAATTATTAGTGAGCTTCCTGTATTTATTGTTGTCATGATGTAACCTCCATGAAAGTAACAACCATGAAGTATGAGAAATTTAACATCAAATTTTTTCTGTGTCCTTTTGGAACTAATTGGTTTTGTTGTCACAGATATATGTTACTTGGTCAAATAACAAAGCATCTCTATTATTTTTTGTACCGGGCTTAGTCAACAGCAGGAGCAAAAACAATGTATAAACTGCCATCAACTGACCCTCAGGCAACTAGATGCCCTTATCACAGTGACAAGGGCCAGCCAGAAGAGATTTCCACTGACCAGTAGTATAGCAAGTTCTCAAACCACTTTCTACTCTGCAAGCCCAGCCAATGACTTCTGTGGCACTGATTACCCCAGGTGCCTTTGACTCAGTCCTCCTACAGATAATGTTAAGATCCACTTCAGAAAGAAATTTTTCCGCATTTATTGGTATGTCACTTTTTCCAGCCAAATGAGCTTGAACACAGAAATGTTGGAGGTGTCACAAACAAGCAAGGGCTGGATCCAGAGAGAATAAGTAAGATTAGGAAAATTGTTTCAGTATTTTCCTTTGTCACTGGCTCAACATGAAATGACTTGTTGTGGTGTGATTGCCGGAAAGCCATCAATAGTTTTACCATTGATTCTGATGTCAATGCTCATGCCATTTGTGTTGTTGGTCATGAGTTTGGTGTTCTCTGCACTGATTTCCATGGCTGCAAAGATCTTATCCAGGTGATCCACCACGTAGGCTAGTTCCTCCTCTTTTCCTACCAAGCCACCAATGTCATCAGCAAAATGTACAATAATGTAAGTTGGTAATTGTTCTGCTTCCGTATTGACTGTCATAACTCCCTCCAGAAAGATGTTAAAAAGAGTCAGAGACAGTAAACACCTGTCTTACAACGATTGTAGTTCTGAACCAGTCTCCTACGATGCTGTTAAGTTAGACTGCACTAGTGGCCTTGTTGTAGCTTTTCAATGACTTGGATTAGGCTGGCATTAACGTTATAAAGCTACTCTGCCAAACGCCTTTTTAAAATCAATAAAGACATGACTGAGGTCTTGTTGGTATTGGAGGTACCTCAAGGTACATCGAAGTTAAAAGAATGCAAAACTGCTTGTTCAGAGTTTAACAGCACACTCTGTTTTAACTGACTGGTATGGAGCAGCATCAATACCAAAATAACTGGAACTACATGTATATGGTTGCATTGTTTTCACCACACTTTTTGTCATACATTTGTACAAGAGGATAGTCTGTACACTCCGTTCAAAGTTACTTACATAGCACCTCTTCTACTCAGAGCTGGACAACACAGTAGTCTGCCCTCTAAAACTTATGTTCTGGCAACTTTGAGTATTGAGTAATGTAATGCCTTTGAAATGATTGTTTCAAGAATTAGGTGCAGCTGGGGAACAAAACTGACACAACAATTTCCTAAAAAATATGGTTTACACTTGGTCACCTGGACTACCAGTATTCTCCCTTCAACGATTTAATGTAACTTGTAGCACAACAGTTTCTGGTTAAATCACAGCAGCTGATATAACAGCTGTATGCTCACATATCCAAGTGATGTACAGGCTGTATATTTATTGACTAAGAGCTGGAGCATTTTCACCTTCAAGAGCTACCACAAAAAAGTCTCTCTAGTATGTCCAGGACAAGCAGATTTTCTTGCTAAGCAAGTACCTTTTAGACTCACCTATCAGACGGGCACCACCAAGCTCTAGAGAAGGCAACTAGGCAGCAACATTTTTTCTTCTCATGTATCATACCAATGACAAGTCTCTTAGTTGCCTTTGAGAAGCATGTAGTCACTGGGTACCCTAGAGTTCACACGTTCAGATTACCAATATTTCTTTTGTTTCTTTGGTTCTGAGGATGTGAAGAGGTTTCACCTGCCTCTCTGGGCTTAAATTCACTAGAATGATGTATCAACTCTGGGTCATTTAACGAACACGATCCTTAACACAACAGCACAACAGCCGGCATAGTAAAAATACACAAGGCGTCAAACTTAATATATTGCCTAGAAGATACACTAGAGCAAAAGAGGGTGGTCGCACATTCTCTGTGACAACTTCTAAATGTTGGAATTTTTCACCGGCTTAAGATCTGTTCCTCTTCCTCTGTAAATATTTTAAAGAATGCTTCATATAAACAAGTTAAATTAAGTCAGTTTAGGGTTAGAAGTTTTACTTCTTTGCTAGATAATAATTTTTAGATTATGTAGTACTATGCACATTGTACTTACATTGTATCTTTTCGTTAACTTTTTACATCTTAATCACTTATGTATTTCTTTTGTCTTGTAACACATTACTAACTAATTAAGAGGGCCACATGTTTATTAGTTGTTTAACTATTAGGTGTTATCCTCTATAAAATAAAGTTTGATTGATTGATTGATTGAACTAGATCTGAAGATTTTGTGGCAGCAACGACAATAATATACTGGCTAGAGGATGCTCAAAGGGTTTACCACTGACACCAATACAGGATGGCCATGAAAGTACATCAAGGGCTAAATACATTTATGTATTTTTTTGGTGTGTTTTATTTAATATATACCCTGCAAAAATGTAGTGCCTGTTCTGTGTCCTTATGAGAGAAAATTTCTCATAGCAGATCAACTAGAACAGCTCCAGCACAGCAGATTGCTACCTGACATCCAGAGGAGATCAATACACGACAGACACACGACAATTTCCTGATAAAGTAGCTGAAGAGGGGAAAAAGCTTGCTGTAGACGAAGTACAGTACCGCTCAAAAGTAGACGCGAGACTCGAGACTCCATTCACATAGAGTCTCGCGTCTCAAGGATCGAGACCAAGTGACTGTCAACTTACTTTTGAGCTGTATGACACTATTATCAAAGAATGACGCTTTAACCACGGCAATGAAGACAGCTAAAATCAGACCATTAACAATATCTGAACAAAGTTGAAGGCAGAATAAATGAGAGGAACAAGGACATGCCATTTCTCGCTGCCAGAATCATATCAATTTACTGACTCATGTTGATCGACGGAGATGTTGCTGCATAATTTATTACACCACACCATTATCTATGAGAGGTGGTTCCTGCCAATAATTATTTTCAACTCCTGGTATGCTGCTTCCCTATCCTGTTGTTCACTTTTCTTAGGAATTCTTTTATGCAGTTTTGTATCCTATTAGTCTCTTTCACGATTCAGTTATTCACTTGTCCAAGTCTTTGATAATAACTATTTGATTGTACAGTTTTCTTTGGAATCCTTTTAAGCAGTTTTTGATCTTTTAATTCCCGTTTGAATCGTTTTATGAAGTTTTGTATCCTTTTCATCCCTTTTGAATTGTGTTACTCAGTTTTCCAAATTTATGCCATTTTGCATTAAGTCAGTTTTGAATTCTATCATTCCCTTTCGTATTCTGTTCTTTCATGGAGATAGATGGTTGTGGCCTGGTGAGAGTAATAAAATTAATTATGAACATTTGTCCCACCAACAGATAATATATGCCTCAATTGTGGGAGTAGTGGTTTTGGTGTTATCAATGCATAAATGTAATAAATTATACTTTTCCCACCTCTGTATATAATGGTAACATATGCCATACAATATATAATAAAATAAAATAAATGCATGTCATAAAAAAAAGGTCTTTTATGTTTATCCTAACACATCCTTAACATTTTGGTCTAGTCATTTCAAACAAGTTCAACTTCAAGGCAGTGCGTTAGTCAGTCAGGAGTGTCAAAAGTAGCCTGCTGCCAGCGAAAATTGCCACCTACTTAGTTGGTATCAGCTGCCTACTCTGATCGGCATTTCTTTACAGACAGCGTATTTTAAATAAAATATTCCTGGACTGGCGGCTTACTTTGACAACTTAGCTGTCTATTTCAAACCTTTCTGAAAACCCTGGTCAGTGCCTCTAATAACACTGTATTTTAACCTGTAGTTTATTTTCAGCTCTATTTTTAGCTTTGAATGCAGACCTGAATACTTTTTACTTGAAAAACCACAGAGTGAACACTTAAAGCCAGAACACAGGGAGGAGATGAGCACCCTTCGTTCCTGTCAAGGGATGTCCTTACTTGTGAACAATGTTGACGTGTATTACCGCGTCAAGAATAGGAGGCAAACAATCACTAGTTTGCTCTGTGAGGGAGCCCAGACAACCTGTAGTTACACTGTCATGTACCAAGACAGCAATGGGCAGAGCCATTTCGGGGACTTCTGTTGTTAAGTTGACCACAGCACAGGACAGTCCCTTGTTTTCTTTTAGAGGACAAGGGTTTTAAGCTTTTTCATAACATGTCATGAATACTGTACATTAACACATCGATTACTGTAAAGCTGCAACAATTTAGGGACATCTGTGTCAAGGAGGAACTTTCTAGAGAAAATTATGTATTCCTAAGTAGATTCCCTAATCCTTTATTTGCATGACTACCATTTAAATCTCATTCCGATTCTTTTAAATACAGTGTAAGTAACAGCCAAATAGCATCAAGGAAAAGAATAACAAGATGCCTGTGTAAACAATGACATAGTCTGCACGTAACAGCATTGAGAACATGTTGAACAACATCGAGAAGACAATTTGCAAACAGCATAATAAACTTGTA